CAGTTAGAGCAGCAGCAAGAGCTGTTGGGTCAATAAAGTGTAAAATTACTACTCAGCAATATCTTTTTTAAAGACCTTTCTATATTTTGGGTATACATACCAGTCCCCGGTCTGGGTAACAGGAACACTGTCATGGCGAGAAGGTACAATAGAAGTGACCACATCGTTCATCAGTTCGAACCTAGAAGTATATATATTTGTGCATCTTTGAAGATCTACATTCAGTTGTAAAATACAATCCGAGCTTTTGGCCCCTGGGCCTTCTTCGGGGATTATGAACAAAAATCAGCGAAAAAATCTTTGCGTTTATGATCCATGGAAATGTCCAAGATCAAATGAAATGAATGTATTAAAAGGGGGATCTTTTCCCTGGAGAAGGGGGGAGGGCTCTTCCAACCCCCCTCCCCCCAAGTACGGGCCTGTCGTGCGCTGCCGGGCCTTTAATTTTTTGGTCGTTCTAAAAATACTGGATCAATTCTAAGATCATTTATCATTTCGCTTTTAAACAAATGACTAAAAAAGATCGGTTTATATAGACCGAACGCTATACATGTAGCACAAATAGAGCAGCAACAAGAGCTGCTGGGCCAATAATGTGTAAAATAACTACTCCCTGGTAAAAGGGGGGGAGGGCTCTTCCAACCCCCCTCCCCCCAAGTACGGACCTGTCTCGCGCTGCCGGGCCTTTAATTTTTTTACCGTTCTTTGCGTTTATGATCCATGGAAATGTCCAAGATCAAATGAAAACATTATCTTGATTGTATTAAAAGACATCTTTTAGTTAACAATACCTGACTTTTGATGTTTTTCAAGACATAGCAGCGAATTACTGACACAATGTGCTTTAAGATACAAAATTTGATCGCATAAGGAAAGTTCCACGAAAATGCAAAGAGAGAAAATCGTATAAAAGCGTTTAATGCATTTTCGTAAGGTCGACCAGGTATAATTACAGGCAGGCTGCAAGTTGCCCAGTTGCTACGAGTCAAACGTTCTAACACCCGTACATTTTGTCTCTAAATGACCGTCTTGTAAGATAAGCCTTAGTGGATAAAAATCTGACTTTGGATGATATATTAAGCTAATTTTCCTCATTACCTTAACCGATTAGACGCTGTTCTTAAAATATCTTTTGCTTGGCAAAGGACACGTGTGTTATATCTTTGACTTCTTTTTCTTTTCCACATTCCTCTGTCTTTTTAATTTCACTTTATTTACATAACAGTAATTTTGTGTTGTATGCACATGATTGTATAAACACAATTTAATAGCTTCTCGTAATAAATAAAACCACCTGCCGCCCTTTCAGTCGTTTTGTCCCTAGTGCATGTGAGCACACACAGGCCAGAATTCTGTTAATTAAACTTGAGTCACTGCGGGAAATTTTAAAATAATAAATTATCAGATTTAAGGGTACAGCTACTGCATTGTGCTTAATTTTTAAAATGTTACAATTTCAGCGCATAATCAATTAATGTGAAGTTGTTTTAATTTAGTAATTGGAAGGAATTATTAATGTAGCACTCTCGTTTTACTTCTTTATATTTTTGTTGATCGTTTTACTTCTTTATATTTTTTGTTGATAAGAAATATTTCTGTCTGGGTTGGTTGCCTTAAGATTATAGAATCTTAGCAGTGAGTAAACCAGCCTTTACCCACCGTGACATATATAACTATATATAGCGGGCATGGAAAACATCCATGTTCCCAATGCTTACTTAGTTCTCATGCTATTTGCTTTCTTCATAAAACAAGTATATTCGAAACAAATATTTTCAGACTTATATGAAACGTTCGCCTCTATGTTTAATGATGAGGCATTTCTTTAAAAATTACGTGCCCTTTACAATGGACCAAAACAAGCATTCACATCAAACAATTAACAGTGAGTATTCGGCGTATTCACTCCGGATATTTGTGCACGAAATACACGTCTAGCTTAGCTTGTCTGTGTATTCTGCGTGCATTTTGACGCATTTATTCCGGATATTTATGAGAAATGCACATCTATTGGCGACTTACCTTTGTCGACATTGAGCTTCACGACCCCCCTTCAACCTACGTAGTCTAAAGAGAGCAATATTTCAATAGTACCCAACACATGTAGCCTTACGCCACATCTCTATGTCGGCAGTAATGACTTTATCGATGGAAAAGATCTGACTTAATTATTCTGTCTTTATGGAATGTCCTCATTTCTATTAACACCAAAAGTCTGTGAGCATTCTCTGTCGATGAAACTAGCATTTATGTGATGTTATCTAAAATTATTCAAAAATAGGAAATAGCAATTAGAGTTCTCGAGTTATGAGATGAGAAAAAATTAATGCTGCAGGTTTTTCGATGGTAGACAAACTTGGCCTGTGGAAAATTTTCAAAGAAAATGGTTATTTGCGCCCGGGCAAGCATGAACTTAATTTGACTAACATTTATTTAAATGGAATTTTCCCGGGAAAATAAGCAATTTTGTAGTACTCACGGCTCATTTACCTTTCCCTTTAACTTTTAATTTAATTTATAAAGGTTGATTTAGTTTAAAATGACTGCCAAGTCATTATAACAATCGACTCTTCCTTAACTCGGAAATATCAACATCAGGTAGGCTCCAGAAAAAAAAAAGCTTCAAATCGTTTTTAAGATGTATGTAAGGTTTCATTAAGCTGTGAATGGCAAAAACTAGCATTTGGGGGGATTTTCAAACCCGTGGAGTGTGCCTTTACTCCTATCACACTCGCGCTGTAGTGTGATATGCACCTGTACATACCAGTCCTGCACATATACACTTTATACGTAAGTGCGGTATGGGACAGATAACAGTATCTATCAACAAAACCATCAAGATCTCCCCGCCCGCCCCCCTGTGGCGCTAAAGTAAGGGTGTTGTGAAAAGCTGCATATTTAATAGGTAGGTTAGTAGACGTACTACATGCATACCTGGCCGACTTCATCATTACTGAATGACGTTGTGGTATTACAGGTATGTTAAACAATGGAATGCTACTGGACGGTGTGACGATATGGACTACACGCACAGTGACACACCGTCCATTTTCAGCTACACCAAATGTCACTGAAGTGTTGTGTTTAAAAACGCTGCTGGGATCAAGGGTTTTATTTTACTGCGAAGGGAAGAGTGGTAAAAAGAGGTTGTCAAAAGGATGATAAGAATTTGAAGCCGCAGAGATGGACATTTTTTTTAATTCATCTATTTTGTGTTCTTTTTTATTTGTCAATATTTTCATATGACAGGATTTCCAGCAATGCGTTATTTTCAAATCGATGCAACGCCAGTCTTCAAACATGATTTCATGATTTTCACAATTAGCGAGGAGGTTCCAGATGTACATTGTGTACGAGGCTTTGTATTTATAAGCCTACATGTACACATAATATATTAAGAAAGACACGACTTCAGGCCTGTAACCGGGGGGGGGGGGGGGGGGGGT